GGTCCTTGTATAGTTACGTGGGTTGTTGGGCTCAAGGTCTACACAAAAAATTTTTTGTTGTCCATTATAGATTTATCAGCCAAAAATCTAGTTTGCTCTCACGATTACTGGTGATGAATGTTCCCGAGGGTCTACACAGCACGCATGAACAAAAATTTTCTTAAACGATTTTTGTCAACTTTTCCACATTTTCCAGCTTTTTTCTTGGGCTAAGAGCTATCTTTTCCATCTTTTACACACAGTTTCTATCTTTGATAAGAAAAGACTTAAATGATTGTTAAGTAGTTTAATGTAATTAAAAACGTAAAATAAAAGCAAATAATCGTCATAAATTATTAATTCAAACTGTTCTTTTAGGTTGAAATACAATCTCTTATTTCAATCTTAATTTTTTTTTATCGTATTTCTTTTCAGCAGTGTTTTTAGTAAGAGAGTCCAATAAAAAAAGACTTCCATTAGGTTTCTTCAGAATTTAGACCTAGGCTTATTGCAGTTACGGTTAGTAATCTGTTTAATCATGGAAACATTAATTTGCTCTTATGATGTGAGCTTTTAATATTTATTTATGTAACACATGTAGCATAAGACACTGTTTTAGAAGTTTCACATCTTAAATCGTAATAGAAAATTTTTCTGCTAAGAATGTGCGAAAAATTAGTGTTTTTAAAAAATACAATGTAATAATATGTTTGAATCTTAAGTAAATTATCAGCAGTTTTCGTACTTGTGTTAATACCAACCTTAGAGCCTTACGAGCAACCGTCGATGTATGTAGCTATACTTGTATTTTAAATAATAAAATGTTTTCTGCTTAGCCTCAGTTTAGAAATACAAACCCCTTTTTTAATACATAAATGCGTAAAATTTGTGTTATTTTAGTTAAACTGTTGATAAGAAGACATATACAGCTTGTACAGTGCCATGTCACAGTTTTTTTGATAGCGAGTTAAAAGCGTAAAAAAAACATTGTCAAGTTTTTGTAACAACATGCATGTCATCTGAATAAAATATACCAAACTGGTATGTGGGTTTGATATGGCACTGTGCTGAGTAACGCCCTTAAAATATATAGTATTTTTTCTGAATCGCCATACTCTTACAAATAGAAATTAAATTTAACTCAGGTTTAATTTAATTGTAGTACACTTAATTTTTTTTTATTTACTTTAATTACATCTTAAAACTTACTTTTTGATAACTGCGTGGTTAGAAAAATCTACAGTGTTTTAATAATATTTCTCTGTATTCGTTGGTTAACGTGAATCGCTGTTTTATCAAAACATACATTGATGTACTTAATTTTGTTTTTGTTATTTTTGTTTCATTATCATGTATTGTATAAATAAATGATAACCTGGTTCATTAACATTAAATTAAACATTAAAATTAAATTAAACATTTTTAACATCATATTTCTTTTTGAACAGAAAAAGAAAAATGTTTGACAGTAGTTATAAAACAACTTTTTTCAATAGCTTGCAGGCAATACAATAATAAGTCTAGGCTAACACAAGCTATATTGTTAACCAAATAATAATAAGGTTAAAAAATCTTGCTTGATAAGGAGAAAACGTTGTAAACGTAAAAAATAAATCTATTTGGACATAGTAGCCTATGGGCTCATTGATTTAACGTAATAACCTGCTGTTAATAGAACTGTTACATTTACAAGAACTTACTACTTTATAGGAACTTTACTACCATTTCAACGCTAATGCATCTCAATAATCTAAAGATTTCCCAAGTACTGCTCGCCAAGCAATCTGTAAAATAGATCAAAACTTCATATAGCTCTGGCTGCCAAAATACGGTTATAACAATTGCTTAGTATACAACTAATAAGTTGTATACAGTTAGCAGATTTAATAATTTTTAGATCATACCTTAGTACAAGTATAAGTCCCAAAGAGGCTTGCAAAAAAATGTCCTTACTTAGGTGCCATTCAAGGGAGCTAGCAAATTTAGCCCTTCGTTGTGCTACTAAAGATATACAGATACTAGTAATATGTTTATAAAACGTATGCAAGTGTGACACTTATATGCAGATGTACATCGTTTTGGGTTTTTGAAATATCCACTTATAACTTATTTACGTGTTAAACAAAAGTATTATTACTGTGTGATCTGAAAGAAATATGCAGTTATCAAGCAATAAAATAAACAATAGTTATGTATTATAAAGGATAAAAAATCTGAAAGGTAAGGTCATTTAGTACCAAATGAGAACGACAAGAAGGTAGTTGGTGGTATGTAAAATCTGATTCTGACTTGTATTTTTGACTGTTTTCACCGGGTGTGTAATATACAGCTACTCAACAAAATTGTGAAATCGTATTACAGAACATCTATAATATGCTTTGATTACAGAGGTCATTAGGATGTAGGTAGGTAGAATACTACATTTTTTTCACACAACCCTTAATGCCAAAAAAATCGCCAATGTATTCTCTATGATTGACAAAGCCTTTAAACTTGCGGACTCTTCGTTTGGATCCAAGAATATTATAGCAGCTGGTAAGACTTTAATTGATAATGCGTATCCTCCATCTTTTATTAACAGATACGTAAAGGCTAGAATCAGTTTCCTGAACTGACAGAAAAAAAGTTTACAGGAATCTCACAGTCAAAATCTTCAAGAATGTTATACAAAAGTGGATTCTCGGCTTCCGAATCGGTATGGTTCAAACGGGAATGTGTTCCTTGTAGTTCCTTATTTCCGACCTATGGAGATAACTCTCCGTAAGGCCCTATCCCAATACAACATACGGGTTGTCTGTACGGGTTCAGGGAGTTTAACGCACATTATCAAATTGGGAAAGGACTCAATAAATAAGTTGGACATGAGTGGCATCATCTATAAAATAGCATGTGGGTGCGAGATATGTTATATTGGCCAAAGTCGAAGATACCTTTGTGTGCTTTTGCGAGAACACGAACGTTACATTAAAAACAGGGATAAAAGTTCTGCCCTTTACTGTCTCTCTATAAATTGTCTGCAGGGCTTCGAATTTGGAAAAGCAGTGATTCGGGATCGAGAGACTAATAAGTATAAACGCAAATTTTCTGTAATGATTTTTATAAAATTAGTTGATAACAATATAAATAGACAGTTAGATACATAAAATTTAATAAGTCTTACAAAAATTTTTTATTTTAAATAAGGAATTGAGTGTTACTCTTATCTTATTTTCACTAATTGTAAGTTTTATTTCGTTATAATTGTTGATTTTAATTCTGAAGAGGCTGTCAGCAAGACAGCAAAATATTAATGGATGTAAATAAATTATGAATTAATAGTCATGCTCCAAACTACGGTGTTTGCATTTCAATATTATTTGATGATAAAGGAGCAAGTGAAAGGAGTCTATAGATATTTATAGTTTGTAATAATCTTCATACTTATATTTTCTGTTGTTAAACTGCTTATCTCTTACACCTTATCTTTGAGCAGTCACACGTTTTAATACTAAAAGTCGCTTTTCCTAAAGTTCCACTTCCAGCAGCAACTGTCTACATAGACTCGGTAGTATATATTTTTGTTTTTACATATTTTTCGCGTTATGTTTTGGCCCGATAGACGGCCTATCTTTGGATTACTCTCTTATGCCAGGTCATATTGTGTTCTATGAATACTGCCTTTTCCAGCGTCCTTTCCTCTTTTTTTCATCTCTTTTCAACTTCCAGTAGTGGCTTTATAACAAATTGCTGAAACGACTTTCATATTAACTTAAAATTCTCCTTTTAACAGTCTTGTACTTTCTCTTGTAAATTTCTTTTACTAAATTATTAACTTTTAATTGACACATAATTATTTTTTTTTTCTTTTTCTTTGAGCCATTTTTGGCGATTGACATTCTTTTCTCATTTTTCTACTTTTCTTTTGATGTTACCTTAAACTATAGAATTCGTTGCTTTGAAATTTTAATCACGTTTCTTTTAATCTTCCAGCAGCAGTTTAATTAGTCCTTTTTTCAACTTATTTATTTGGTAACTACCCAGGGAAAAATCAAGCAGCAAACGCATAGCGATGCTGGAAACGCCCCCTCTTTTTTGACCCTTTGTGATTGGCTTATGATGTCTGTCGTCTGACGTTAATTATTGATAGATGTAAATGTATTATGAATAAATAGTCATGCTCTAAACTATAAAGTTGGAATATTAATATTATTTTTCTAAATTAATATAATTAAATGATAACAATAGTAATTTTAATTTATTATTGCGATGCGTATTTCATACTAAAAATATTAAATGAGTTAAATTGTTTCAATGTTAAAAGTTTAAAGCTTCTGTAAAAACCCAGAATGTGGCCTAAAAGCAGGTAGATTATCTAATGTTCTAAAATTGTGAAAACACTGAGTAGCTTGGAGAGAGTAGCACTGCATGCGCAAGTTACTACAAAAAAGTTGAGAAACAGTGGTTTGCGTGCACTTTAAGGGGCGTGGCTTGTTAAAGTTGATTTAAATGTTACTATTATTTCTTAAAATAATTTAGGAGTTACGAAGATCTTCGATTAATTTTTCCTTACAAAGAACTAAGATTTTCTTCCTTTCTTTCTTTTCTTGTTTGTTTTTTCATTTTTGAGATTAAAATATCTGTAAATGTATTTTGGTACAATACGTCACCAGAGCATAAAGTATGAACAGCGGTTTATATGTTTTTACCCGAGTCGCGTACATTACTTTTCTTTCCCATAGCGCTAAGTAAAAGTTTGCATCTGTAGGTACACTTTGCTTCCAGTAAATCGCTTTCTGCCTGTGGACCCAAAGTATTTACAAGGATGCAAAGTATGGCCTGAGGGCGCAAAGTGGCAGTAGCACTTTGTACCCATGGTAAGAAAATTTTCCTTTTTCTATTGTAATAACAGCTTTTATAATTGACCTTTTATTCGAATAAGATTCAGAGATAATTTATAAGCAAAGAAAAAGTTAAAAAAACTTTTTTTTTATAAAAATTTATCTTACTTTTATTCTGGTAATAAATATATTCTGTATATTTTATTTCAGGCAGTTTCACCAATTTTAGATGCTCTAGACTCGAACAATAATATCACGTACAGACTTTTCCGGGATGCTACAAGATTTGTTGATGGTCATCATATCAAAGATTTGGATGCAGTAAACAGAGATTTAAGAAAAGTAAGTTTCAAGTAAGCAATTTTCTTTTTTTGTGTTTACATTACATTGCTGTCGTATATGAAAAATAATACCGTGTTATTTTTTCTTTCTCAATAATTCTGGGATTTTTCCAAGTAAATGAAAAACCAGAAAAATTTTCTCAGCTCTGAATTTCTGTTTTATATTCATAGTAGTTTAACAAGCCATCTTTTTAAGTGTGAAAATTGTTAAAACATATTTTTTTTTAAAGTTGAGTTTGAAAAAAAAATCGGATTCAAAGACTTTTTGGCAAGGAACTGTAATATAGCGATGAGAAATTTGATGCTTCTTATGGCAACATAGCTATTTTTATTACGTTGACTATTTCTATTCATTTGCCTCTTAGTGCGATGCTATTCTTTGTAGAACATGAGTGATAAAGAAAAGATAATGTCATTTTATAAGAGAGTGTTTTGTATTCGTGCAATTTTCTACTGAAAATTTAACATTTATTTTTGTATAAAATCCATAAGCCTCCGAAAAAAGAACTTCTGCTTAATATTAAGTAAATTTTATTTTTATTTTTTGATTGTTGTCAATTTATTTCTTACTAAAAAAATTTAATGTTTTTTATATAAGTGTATTATTGATAGCGTAATTACATAGTATTTGACGGTGTTTAAAATAAGTTGCATAGATCCCCACGCGTACATACCTTTGTTGAAATTTATTGCACTTTGAATTTAAGATATCTTTTATCCCTTTAAGTAGAAATTACAAGGCTATATTTTACCTCATTTTACTTTTTTTCCCCGAGAGTTCTTTGCTTTTTACTTGTTTTCGTTGGCTACATAAAAAGTTCTTCTTTTCTTTGGATTTCCTTACTTCCTTAACTGCCCACTTCAGAGTCTTTCTCTGAATTCACTAGCGATGTTCGTCTCTTTTGCGTATTTGGTACTGCATGTCTATAGCAACGAGTCCCTGATTAATCTGGTTAATCATTTTTTTGTTCTTCTCTGTTTATCTTAGCTCAACTGAGTAGTAAAAGGGTCTGTATTTGACCATGTTGGTGATCGACTATTTACACTTGCGTGGTCACTCTTGAGTGAAAATTTCCATTTCTTATGGACGCGCAATTGAGCGTTTTTGGAGGTGCTTCAACAGAGAAGGGGAACCGAGGTATTAAACTCATAAAAGCGGATTTTCGGGTTAGTCTATCTGACATTCCGGTTCGGGATCGATATCCAAGAAAAAAGAGAAAATCTAAAAGGTAAGCGTGAGCATTGGTCGTTAATGACTGCATGGATCCGAGTAAAACTTGCTTGGCTGGCTTAATCGATTCCCTCGAAAGAAATCTGGACCTTGCTTAACACTTTAGTGGGGTTCTCCTGGTGTCTACCGTAAAGTAATCCGTCATGAATTTTATCGAAATTCCCGTTAGGTAATCGGTCTGTGAAAGTAGCTTCTGATATCGGTGGCCACCACTCTGGCTTTCCTATGGTAATTGGCTAAGTACCAACAACTCATTTGGTTTATTCTTTAATTTTTTGGGTCATAGTACATACAATCTTGTTTTTATTTCTGGCGTCAAAATACATACAATTTTGTTTTAATTTTTTTTTGTCACAACACATAATTTTTTTTCAATTTTGTTTTGGCAAACCCCATGAGGCCACTTTTTATTTGATTTTTTAATTTTGATAATAAATTAATCATCCAAAGGTTATTAAAGTTAAAAATCTTTACCTATGTTTTTTAATTGTATTTTTAATTGTTTGCATTAGAAGTTGTGAGGTCATAAACAGATCTAATCAGTTCGATTTTGTAAAGGACGGTCAAATAAAAATTCTGTTGTCATGTGAAACATACATAAAAGATTCCATATAGTTATAGTTGAAGTATTTCAAGCCATAATAATAATATTATTATTTACTAACCGGCATAAATCTATGATATTACGAAATCGTTAATTCAATTTTGATTTTAGGAAGTGTGAATAGCATTTAAATTTTAAAAGAGTCTAATACTTTGAATGTTTATCTTTCAAACCTTACTGTTTTTCAACCACAAATTTGCGATGATCTAATAGTAAGTCTAATACTTTAAATGTTTATCTTAGAGACTTTCCTGTTTCTTTACCACAAATCATCGATGATTCATGGTTTACGTTTGGCGTGGAAAGTGCAAGGTCATCGACAACTAAAAATTTTTTTACTTATAAAACTTTTGCATCATGCTTTAATTCATAATCTACACATTTTGTAACAAGTGTAACATTTTTATCACTACCATTACCTTATAAAACTGATTTGATTTGATAAGTCTTAAAATTAATTTCTTTGACAGCTTTTGAGTTTAGAACCAAAACCGCAGACTTTTTACTTAATAAAGCAAAAATTTAAGTTAAAAAGCTATTATTGGCTAAAAAACAAATGCGAACTTTGGGAACAAGTCTAAGCTTGGTCTTCACTAAATATTAAGCGACAAAGGGGTAGCTTAAGAGTTTCATGCATCCAAAACTACTTTAGTTTTTATTTGTTATAAATGTCAGAGATAGAGTAGTTCTTGAAGGAGGTATCTAAAACTTTGTATAGTTTAATGCTAAATTTTTTACGTTATTACTTGTTACGTCAGTCTCATACATGAGTATTGTCTTAGGAACGAAAGCTCAATTTATTGATTATAACAGATTCCCAACGTTGAGACACTGAAGATCTTGCAAAATCTCTACACTCTGTAATCAAATGGTTTTGACCACAATAAATACATTATTTTTTTAATATTTCTACTCTTTTTTACATCATTCTGAACATAAAGGCTTCAATCAACTTTTTTTTTAGTGTGAACAACTCAAAAATTCAAATTTAAATGGTTTAATGTTGCTTCGTTCAATTGTATTACTATTCCTTCAGGTTTCATATTGAATTCTGCTTTATAAAATACCAAATTTGCCATTTTTTCTACATCAGGCTTGAAGGAATTTTCGTTCAACCCTAAATAATTATGTAGCATTGAACTTGGCAATTTTTTACATAATTTATTTGTAAGCTATCGACTTGAAAGACAATATACATTTTTATTGATTGATTCTATTGCAACAACATAATTCTATGATTGGAAAGGGTTAAGTAAAGTGCAGATAGCATTTTTGACTATTAATGAGCATGTCAGAGCATTATTGTACTATAAAATGGTAGCTCTATGAAATCTTCACCATAGTTAAGGAACAAAGTACGATTGATAGCTAAGTAGATCACAAATAATGTGTCATAGCCTCTACTATAAAATAGTATATCTCTAATTAGTGGTTATATTTATACAATTTTGAGCTATAAATAAAAGGGAATATCCATGTTTTTGAATATTAAAATCAAATATAGCAAGTTACCGAAAAATAATTCGTGGGACAAGCGGTCCAACATTGGCTGTGTTAAGGCTTGGAGATAACACAGTTCGAAAAAATAAAATTGTAAACATTATAAAAAATATCTAATTATTTTTCTCTGAATACTAGCGTAAATCGAAGCAAGTTACTGTAAGAGTAATCTGTAAATTATTTCAATACTTAACATTTTAACAGCTAACTATTGTATCCTCGTAACACAGCTTGTCTCGTGACGTTTGCGAATTTTCTCGTTTTAGTGGCCGATTGTTTCTTTGGCAAAGGGTTTATCGTAGACGCTGCCCTCTTTTATTCCTGCAGCGGTAGTGCTGTAATGCACTCTGCTTTAGCCAAGCCGTAGTACGAATGTAGGTCGAAATAGCTTAACGTTAATAGGTTTGTAACGGTTGAGCGACCCTCCGTAAATCCGTTCATGTTGTTGTAATATATATGGTAAAATAACAGCAGAAAATCAATTATGTACTAGGTGATCAAGCAGTTTTGATAAATGACTTCACAGATCAGTAGGTCTGTAGTTATAATCCAGTTGTGGGTTTCTAGATTTGTAGTAGGAAAATGTGTGTGTATATATATATATAT